TACAACAGTTGCACACAGAAATCTTGTCTTTGCCCCTGTGATCCCAGGTCTTCTGCAGGACCTGTTCCCACAGATTTTTGTTGTACTGACCCGTTTACTTTGAGAGTCACTCAGCTTCATGGCCTGCCAGAGCCCCTTCCATTGAACCAAGAGTTTCCTCCTGGAATCTTCCCCTCCCAGTAGTTCCCTTCTCCAGTTGAGTCACTTGGTGACTTTCCAACAAGTGTCTGACTGATCTCTGCTCAGTTACAAGGGAATCAAAAGGTAGTCATCAGTGGCTCAAAGTCTAATTGAGAGGCGGTATCAAGTAGGGTTCCCCAGGGGTCTGCCCCAGGTCCAGTATTGTTTAATATCTTCTTTAATGATCTGGACAGTGGGATCAAGTTCATGCTCAGCAAATCTGCAGGTTGCACCAAGTTGGGTGGAGCTGCAGACACTCTGGAGGGCAAGGCTAGGAGCCAGAATGACCTGGATAGACTGGAGAAATGGTCCACAATTAAATTAGATGAGATTCAAAAAGATAAGTGCAAAGGTCTGTACTTAGGATGGGACAAATGCATGCACAAATACAGCCTGGGGAATGATTGGCTAGGCTGCAGTACAGCAGAGAAGGACCTAGGGCAAGGGTGGGATAAATATGGCCCACAGGCTGGATGCGGACTACCAACAGAGTTGGTCTGGCCCACGGCAGGGCCCTCGGCCGTTCCCAGCCTGGGCATGGCGGGAAGCCTGGAGTGCAGCCTGCCTCATTGCCCCCAGGCACAGAGTGGGGCAGGGGTGGGGTAGCAGCCAGACTCACTTCCTGGCAGTCCCTGCAGCAGTGGCTCCTTCTAGCTCTCGGTCTCTGCTGCCACTGCTGGACCTGGCCCCACTGCCCAGGCACCCTGACCCATCTGCCCTGCACCCACTACCAAGGGTGGGCAGAGCAGGCAGGTGGGGTCTCCCTGGAGACCAGTGCAGGACTGGGTGGGTGGAATGGGCCATGGGGAGCAGCATCCAGGAGCAGGCTGGGTGGGTGGGGTTGGGATAGGGATTGCGGGGCAATGACAGCATGGGGCCAGGACTCGAGGCAAAGCCACAATCCACTGCCCACAGGTCCCAAGAGATGTGCTGATTCCACAGGCAGGGGCAAGCAGGGAGCAGATCACCGCTCTGGTCTCATGCTGTCACTGCCCCACCATCCCAATCCCAGCCCTGGCCCTGCATGCCTGCGCCACTCCCCACCCCTGTGCAGCCCCATCCCATCCTCCCAGCCGTGTGTCCTGCTCATGCAGGTCCCAGGCTAGTCTCCATGGAGCCCTTGGGATCCCTGGGCAGTGACAGCTCAAGACCAGGGCTTGGGGCAGAGCCGTGGTCTGCTCCCTGCACACCCCTACCCATGGAACCAGCGCCTATCGCAGGGGCCTGCAGGGAGCGGATCACCCAGGTCCCAGCCCCCACACTGGATCTCAACCCCTGACCTTGGCCACCTGTCCCACTACTGGATGCTGCTCCCTGCCCGCCTGCGGCCCCATACCCAACCAAGCACAGAGCAGAGCTTCTTAGGGAGCTTTGGTGAGCTGTTGTGGGCAGAGTGCTGATCCAGTCTGTGACAGCTCACCAAAACTCCTGAAGTGGTCCTCCGGCCCAAAGTAGTCCTCCACCCCTGACCTCAGGGTTACATAAACTAAACTAAATACAAACCAACAATTTGCTCTTGTTGCAAAAAAGCCAACAGGGTGGTTATATCTATGTTATATATCTTGCTATACCTATGTAGAAAGTTTTATCTATCTCTAGGTGTATCATGTCTAGAAGGCATCCTAGTCCCTCCAAAACATTGAGGCAATGTTTTAGCAGCTTTGCTACTGGGTTGCTTGAGTTTGATGTTCTGGATAAACTTTTGTTTTACTTGCACATCTATATGAATCACATGCCCCAGGTTTTATGTCACTAAATTTATGAAATCGTTTTCATTGCAAGCAACGGATAACGTGTTGACGTTCCTGCATCTATACGTTTCCTCAGCTTTCCACTTGTAAATTGGATTATCGTAGTGGTATCACAGTTGTGCCATTCATTATACCACTTTAATTTAGTTGAAATGTTATTTTCTTTCCTTGCACAGCATGGGGGAAGTCTCTGTAGTCTACCACATTCATTGACACTGTATTTGCCTGCTGCTCTTTTGCCCTGAGAGTTGCTGCTAGTCTGAGCTTTACAACCATTTATTTTTTGCTGCTTTGTACAGTGTTAATGACATATATGTGCAAAATCTCACCCTCTGAGTTACTGCATGCTTCCTCCATATGGTGCATGTTGTTTGGGATTTTTTTTGTCATTAGCAGGCAAGATTTTTTTTCCCCACAATTCTTGCATCTGGAGCATTTTCCAGTATCCTGTTTTTCTTTATGGTTCTTTTGCCTTGTGTTTCCTATGCATGGCACTTGTGCCTTGGCTTTATAAAAAATGTTGGCACATTTTCCTTGTATTTTACTATTTCCCTCTTTCACTTGGTGCTACCCACATCCATTCAACTTATGTTGTGCATCTGGCTGAGAGCAGCTTTGCATATGCCTATAGTTCTTGATGGGGTTAATGTGGGGTTTCTCAATACCATTTTTTCTTGCATACAATATGCACCTTGTCCTCAAACATCAGTCCCCCAAAATTGGGATGCAAGTATTAAGCAGGGTGGCTGATTTTCTCCCCAGCACAGAAGCACTTTACATTGATTTCTGCTCCACAACAGCAGCTGTTGCATTACTCTTCAGGCAGCTGAGGGAATCAATTGACTTAATGGCTTATTGTTCTTCACTTGAGGTGAGTTAATGGCCAACTCTCCTTTTTAATTGGACTTAATGCTCCATTAAATCATGTTAACTTTTCTTTTCTTACTGCAATTTTGCTGTCTGCTAGCTGTTCCTGGTCTCTTTCCTCTTATTTCACAGCCATGAGCGACTATTGAGTCGCTTTTCATAGATGCACCCATGCTACCTCATGCAGATAGTTCTTTTCTTCTTCATTCTGCCTTTCAAAAATATGGTGTGTATTATACTCTGGGACACGTATGTGAGAAAATTTGATATTCTTATTTGCCCTCATGCATTTTTCATTATTATTAATCAATATAACCCAAATTAGAAATTGCTAGAAATGTACTAAATAAAGAATGGATGCTTTTCTAAAAGATACTCTAGTTCAAACTCGCATAAGTCCTATGGCCTGTGAGGTCAGGGAGTCAGACTAAACAGTAGCAATGGTCTATTTTTGCCCCAAACTCTATAAATCTATATCCAGAACCTTTGGGAGCCTCCGTCAATAGCAACTAATTGTGGGACCGGTCTTATTTCCTTTCCTTTTCATTCAGCTCCATTGCAATCTCAGTTTTCCCACTATGGCTTTCTAAAAACACTCCAAATGTCCCCTTTCACATCCTTCTCTGGGAACAGGAATCTGGTATGCTGCCATCATTATGGTTTTCTTTGTTTGTTCTGTTTCCTTTAATATTCTCAGTTTCAGATTTTTCATGCACACACAAGCTGACTCACTCCTCTCACTCGTGACCCTCCAGTCGGTAGTCAAGCATAAATTTTTTTTAAAAAATAAATAAAAGACGGAGCCAAGTCTGATGTGGCATGCAGGCTTTCTTCCTTAATCCACCCATATTCATCATGTACAGTTTGCTTTTATCAAAAAAATCCTTTGCTGCAGTCACAGAGGTGACACTGCCCTGGTGACAGTGCAGCCAACTATAGTAAACAGTGCCTATATATCCAACTTGGTCTGCATATGGTTTTCCCACTCAAGTCTGGCCCTTCTCTCCAAAGCCTGGCAAACCTTGTTGCATATCAGTTTTACTATTTCCCTGGTTATTTTCAGCCTAAATTATAAAGGAACAACGTTAGCCAGAATGTTTAAAACTAGATTCTTTCCATAAAGCTGCCAAGGTGTAACCATGTTAGGCACTTCTGCACAAAACATCAGCACTCATATCCCAATCTTAATCATGTTAAGGGAAACCATACATAGTTCTGGCCAACACAGCACAAGGCAACTTCAGACTCTGGTCCCAGTCACACCAGCCTGGAGATCTGTACCATGCTCTGCCTTAGAAGAAGGATGATTCACCCTGTAATTCTCTCACATGCACAGAGCCTCACAATCCTGTAGTGCCTACTCATGCCGTGCCACATGAGCAGCACAATAAATGAGCCTTTGAAATGAGCTTGTACTGAAAACAAGCCAAAATTTCAAAAATGTGTGTATAGACCAGGGGTGGGCAAGATGCGGCCCGCAGACAAGATGCGGCCTGCCAGGCCATTCTATCCAGCCCACGGGGCCCCTAAATATTAACTTTCTAAATTTTTTATCTGCCCCTGGCTGCCTGTCATGCGGCCCTCGATGCCTTGCCAAAACTCAGTAAGAGACCCTCCGCCTGAAATAATTGCCTGCCCTGGTATAGACTGCCTAATTCACAGTGGAGCTCTGATTCCTGCCTGGGCTATCAAAGCACTTTGTATGTGAATAGTAACGTTACAAAAAGATCAGTTTGGGAAGCATTTAAAAGTAGTGATGTAATATGAGCACGTGGTCAACCTGCTAACCATGTGAGAAGCAGAGCTACAACACAAGAAGAAAAGGTGATGCCTAACTGAGGTCCCCAGCACAGCAGTACTTGTTATCATGTCCTTTTTCCACCTGGTGACCTCACCACACATGGAGGAAAGCGCTCAGCAGCACTTTGTTCTGAACCCAAGAGCCTTTAAGCAATCAAGAGGAAGAGAAAGGAGAAAAATCAATTGGGCTCCCCATCAAAACTCATTTTGAAAAGTTCTCCCCCCCCCGAGTACATTTAACATCTTAAGGAATCATAAAATTGCCATCACTTCAATACAAACATGTGCACTCACACAGGCCACCAAAAATTATGGGGCTAACTGCGATGCTATTCAGGTTAAAACACAAAACTATTATCAGGTCCAGTTCCCAATTACTTTATGCTATGTGTTCATTTTTACCTGACATCTTTGCTAGTGAGCTGCACCCACTTTGCACAGTGTGGAATCAGACCCCGTGACTTCAAGCGTACAGGATCAGGCCCTGTGAAAGGATGAGGAGAAGGAAGAGGAAGGACTAAATGAAAGTGTGCGAACAACAAGTGCGTGTAGTCATTCAGAGTTTGACTTACCAGCATATCACTTTCAAAAACCTCAATTCACATCCGTCTGTTTTGCATCCTTCTTTTCCATCAGCTTTAACTTTGTCTGTAAACCTGGGAAAATGGAGAGTTAAAATGCACAGCTGCAGTCTTGCTTAGCAGTCAATAATACCTAACTCTGAACACGAGCCTTTCCCCAGGATGTTCTTCTAGAGGAAAGAAAGAAACCAAGTGTCTGGTGAAATCACGCACAAGATGTTCTGAGCAGGGCAATATTTACACATGTAACTGGTAACACCCATTTACCTGGCTAATCCACCCAAGGGCTCTTTGCTATTGGCTGACATGTTGAAAACCTTCATGTTTCATCTGCTTTGCACCTTATCAGTTGGCAACAGATAGCCTGTCATAGGCTTTCTGCAAATATTTTAAAACATATCACAAAATGCCAATATAGCTCTATTTACTTTTTTTCATACTGTAAGCAATATTAAATGAGCCCCTCATCCGTAATGAGGCAGAAGCAAAGGGACAAACTATGCCCTGATATATTCCTTTTATCACTAATTAAGACAAAAGGGTTGGATAAACTTTAAATCAAAAGCAGAAGTAGGTCTAAGCAGCTCAAAATATAACTAAAGTACACAGCAGTGCCCTGTGCATACCCAAAGCTTTAATTGGCGAGATTTCCACAATGAAGATGTGCTTATTATTTTTCCTTTTTTTGCCCAGATGAGTATTTTGCCAGATACTCAGTTAACCTGGGGAACTGGAGGAAGGTAATTTGTTGGATGTCCATGACAGCTGAATAGTTTAAATTCAGCATGGCTAATTAAGCTGCTCTCCACATTCATAGCTCTTGACACCGAGGATTGGGATTGCGAGACAAGAGCACTGAAGGATTCTGAACTTCATGCAAAGAGGACACACATTTGTATTTAATCATGCAGTCACTACTGGCTTCTCTCCAGGCAGATCCTTATGCAAAGTAAAAAAAGGAGTTCTCTCTGAATGCGCATTAACAGCGACTTGAGTAACTGCTTCAGAAGGCACCTGTTTCTAAATCTCTGCTGTCTCAATATCCAAACGTTTCTTAGCTCCTTTCATAAGTCAAATGTAAGGCTGGATTCTATTCATGTCTGCATGTTTGGGTAGTAAAGGTAGTAATGAGGACTGCTGTGAGTTTGAATGCTTCTTCTCTGGCTCTGCACAAGTCTCAGATTCTCCCCATTGTGTGATACTGCTGGTACTTCTGCATTTCAAAGATACCTCAGAAATGGGGGTGGATTTGCCCGTGAGCTGGACAATAGATGACTTCAACTGTATTCTGCTGTACAGAGACTCCTTTAGCTGAAATCTGTTTCAGCTAGTACACGTACTTCTCAGCAGACCTACAGTCTCATCGGTAAACACCCCCTGAGTCAATAGATGTTTACTTACATTATAATACATAATCACGCGTAACACCTGTCAGTACAGATCCTACGGATGGGACTTGACTGCACTAGGAAGGGAACAAGGGTCTAAATCATGAAACAACACAGCATGAAGCAGTATTTAAAGACATGAAGTAAAATCTAAGATCTCAACATTATGTTCGTAGATCCAGTTCTAGTTCCTGGATTGCCTGTTTACATTACACTGCAGGAGCATAACGTCCTTTATACTACATGTAGTAGGGTTGGGGTGTTGTTGTAGCAGTGTTGGTCCAGGAAATATGCAAAAAGCAAGGGGTTTTTTTTGTGGGAGGTGATCTCTTTTATACAATTGGTACAAGAAAAGCTAATACCAACAAAACCTTGCTTCTTGTTATTCTACGTAACTGTTATTTTTTTAAAGCTCTTAGGTGAAAATGTGCAGCTGATCCAGAAGATATATTGGAGTGAAGACACACATGTATAAACATATCAAATGAAATGAGACTTGCCCAAACACCGTATCTGAATGTCAAAATTTCCTCTTTCTTGCACCATCACAAGAGCAAGCAAGTTTGTATTTACTATTATCTGGCCAGTTAGTTGCACTTCCCATCATTTAATAGTTCAGATCTTTCTAACTCTACCTTCACAGCTTTGAAAGAAGTCCCACCATACTCCTGCATATGTCCATACAAATTAGAAGTGTAAAAAGCCTTGAAGCCAATTTACTGGTACTGGGAGAGCACACAGTGACAGCTCACCTAGACATCTTCATTCTTTGTCATTTGTTCGTTTGTGCAGTTACGTGCAGAGTTATTTCAGAGGTGGTTAAATAGAGACCTGTGTGCGAGACAGTCCTGCTAGTGGATGGGGACGCATGCATACAGCGGTCATGGAAGTCACAGGAAAGAGTTGCGTGGGCATACACAAGAGCCCTCCAGCTCAGCAAAGGCCAAATGTGCCAAATGGCAGAATCTGGCCATCCACAGGATCTGAGGACAACATTTTAAAACATATTTGGGTGCCTTTCCCCTACATGGTTTCCCTGAAAGATATGACACTTCACACCACTATCAAAAAACCTCCACTGTGCTGCTGATCCTTTCCCTATTTCACAAAATTTAGTCCTGTCTTTGAATGCTCATTCCAACTCTCACCTGTTGGGTACCAATCCAAGTGCACAGTAAGTCAGAATAACTCACCTTTTATTTTCACACCATGGTCAACACTGGACTCGGGTGAGCTGTTTGAGGCAGACACTTGCATACTGTTACACCTCTCAGGCTTCACACCCTACACTCCACATCCTGGGTGAACAGCAGCAACCAGAACTAAAAGTGATTTGATTACCCCAAACATTACAGCTCCAGATCTTCACTAATACCAGTACTAAGATTCCTCAAAAATACTGTGTGATCCAAAAGTTACTGCACTGTATTTTAATTAAAGAGGGAGAAAACTTTCATGAAAAAGTCTGTAAAGCTAATACAGCTGAATTTGATTCAGCATCGTGGACACCTGGGCCAGTGGTTCAGGTGTTGAACAACAGAATCAGTGAAAGTAAAACAGTAGGTCAAACCTCCAAACGAATACGTTTTCATGTTACTATATCACCAAAATGGCTGTTTGAACAAGAACTGAACAAGCGTTGAAGCAAGATTTAAGTCATTTAGGACTGCAGTTCATGTACAAATGGTTTTCAAAACTGAAGCAGAGACTCAGCTGTTAGTGTAAATGTGAAATCAGCAACCATTTGTTCAAGAAGTCAGTGGCATCACTGCCCCAGTAGAGCACCCATCTGTGCCATGATATTGCAGGGCATATGGCTATTTTGCATTCATTTTAAAATTAAAACAACAGCCCTCTCTTCCGCAAATGTCTTTTAGTTCGTTTCTTTGCTCTTAATGTTTAGTGGCGCAAGCCAAATATTTGCTGAACGTTGCCCTGAAGAAAGATGCACACAGGGTATTTGCATTTGACACTGCGTATGGCATTCAGCGTGTGGGGAGCAATGCAATTTTGGGGGTAAGCACTATGCACTGGATATGATATAGGCCAAGCTCTTCTGTCCAGACCCGAATACTTCCTGGTTCTTCAAGTCAGTGGATGAAATTAGTTAGACTCTAGCCAGACCACATCGTAGCACAGAGCGGAAACAATGCAAAAAACTTCGAGGGTTTCAGAAAAGGGCGATTCCTGAAAAGCCACAGACCCTAAGCAAGATACTCTCCATGCGGAGTGGGGACTGCACAAGTGGAGAACCAGGCTGCAATGCAGCAGCCAGCAAGCAGCACTGGGCAGAGAGGGCACAAGCTTGCTGGGGAAGCAGAGGGTCAGGGGAGAAGCTGCCAGGCAAAACACAAGGGCAGAAGAAAGTTGGTCAGACAATCACACACCCTTCCAGAGCCCCAAGCAGCTGAGCATCCCGCACTAGCCCAGGCAGACGGAGTTACCTGTGCCCACCGCAGGGTCCGCGCTCTCTGTGCACGGGCTGCCCTGAGCGCCGGCTGGGGCCAAGCAGCTGCGCTCCGAGCAGAGCTGTGCGGGCGGGCCCTTGAAAAAAAAAAAAAAGGAAAGAAAGCTGCTGCGGGCGGTGCGAAGAGAACACGCGGGTGCCTTTGGCTTTTTGGTTCTCGCCCTGGAAGGGCGACTGGAGCCTGCGGGCGGGGAGGCTCTGCCTGGGGGCCTGCGTGCGTGCGTGAGCAGAGCAGGGGAGCAGGCGAGGAACAATCCCAGCCTGTTTATCTGCAACACAATAAATCGCCTCCCTGGGACAGCTAGCAAGGAGCAAGAATTGGGGCTATTCATGCGGCAGGACTCAGCCGCAGACGGACTCGTGCAGGGCTTACACTGCATGGGTTTGTGCAGTAAACCCCGGGACGAGGGACGGAGGATGACTGCATCGTGTGTGCCTGGGACACACCACTGCCTTGTGGCGCAGACAGCTGCCATGTAGGTGGCGGAGGGTGTATAGAGGGGTAATGTGCATACAAGTGCACTTCCCCTGCGACATACCGTGCGTGGCACTGGAAGTGTGTAGTAGTGATGGTGCGCGCAGTGCTGCAGGGACATGTTGAAGGCACAGCTCGAGAAAACGGATGCCTCGAGTTGAGAGGAGCTGGCTGCCCACCCATGCCAATGGCGCCGTAACCTCAACCAAGCGTCTTGCCCTTGAAGCGGAGAAGAGAGAAGGGAGGAAGGAGAGAAATCCCAGCCTGCAGCCTAGCCTCCCCAGCGGAAATACCTGAAGCTTCTGCAGATTGGACTCTGAAGTCACCTCAAGACCCATCGACGAGCTGTGGTAGAGATGTCCTCGAATCAAAGGATTGCTGACAACAAGTGCTGGCAGCGCTGTAGCCGTCGTGGCTAGTCCTGATACTGCGGATAGGGAGATGCAGGAACTGGTGACTCCATGACAGATAGGAAAGAGAAGCATGTTATGGTGCTGGGATTGTCAGGGAGAAAGAGGAGTTTCCTACTCAAATCTGCCTGCAGTTGGGCACCTACCCCGCTCCCTTGAGACCCTTGGAAAACACCAACTTGCTCAGGAAACATGCCTTCTGCCCTACGGGGTTCCAAGTGCCGGTAGACACAACAGGGATGGTACTTCTGGCTTGGCTTATGGATGCTCCTCTAGCTGGCTGTCCATCCACCCCATTCCCCTAGCCCTCCTGTAGCTTGGGTAAAGTCCAAAGCACATAGAAGTTAATGGGAGTCTTTTTACTGGTTTCACAGTTTGGACGAAACATTTAATGAATGAGGCCCAGGTATTCTCCCAGATCTTACTGCTGCTTTGCTGCAGTTTCCCATTCAGGTGTTTGTGCTGTAACCTGCCGTGAATTTGTATTGCTTCAGACCCCAGGAACATTTCTTCTGGAGCACCCACCAACTCCCTATTCGGTTACTGTGGCATGACCGATCGGCAGCTCAGCAGCCTGGGCACCCATGTGTTAGAGCATTTGCTAATTCTACTGCACAAAAATATCCAGCGCTGCATGGGATCCAAAGAATCCATAAACCAGACAAATTGTAGCTTTCCAGACAGAAAGCATAACATCATGGGCATAAGATCATGAAATAGTGTTTGAGCATCAGCAGCTAAAACTTGTTTTGCATAAATTGTAGCCACAATGAGTCGTCACTGCCAGGAGCAATTATAAATGAACATTAGCTCATTGTTCCCTACAGTAATTTAATTTTGTTTTTCTGTTCCTATGAAAGACAGGGAGGTGTCAGAAGCATGGGGGGTGAGCCTGATGCCCTTCACTGTTCTGTTCTGCTGTTAATGGCTGTTGGTAGATCTATAATTGCCTAAGAGCATTTAATGATTTCAATTTTTTGAGCTTTCCTTCAGCTTCACTGCTGAGTAATTCTTGTTTTCTGTATACCGACTCTTCTCAGTGTTACAAGCATGTCCGTTTTTGTTGGTGGCTTACTGATCTAGCCACTTCACGATTCATCTGCTGTTGCAGCGTCTGAGTCGCCATGTCCTATTGACGTTCCATTTAAACAGTAAGCCAGGGGAAATACAACTTTCAAAAACTTAATCAGATTTGTCTCAATAGCAAGACATTTCCCACAAAGGAAAGATCAGACTGAAACTCATCAAGACATACAAGGGCTGTATAAAAGAGAAATGGAAAATTAGTTAACTCACTATTTAATATTTAGTCCAGTAAATTACCTGAGTCCATGAACACGACCTAGTAAGATTAAAACATTGGCAATCTTGCCCAAGATAGCTTCAATGCCACATTCATTTTTCCCTTTTTGGACTTGAATTCCAATTACCTTTATATAGTCTTGAAGATAAGACACTCTTTGTTACAGATTTCCTTTGGCTTGTCTGAAATTTGTCATATGCTATGTGGCACAGCAACTGTAAGATTCAGATCTCTTGATATAGATGATATACTCTACTAAGCTTCTCATATTCAGAAGACTTTCACTGAATTCACATGACATTTCAAGCATTCCTCATTTCTGAAAATCAGACCCAAGAAATCTTAAACTAGGCGCCCTAAAATGGGTGTGCCCCAAATATCAGCTACTGGGAAGATTTTGCTCAAATTGAAAAAGTATCTTTTATATATATATATATACACACACACACACACACACACACACACACACACACACACACACACACACACACACACACACAGTGATACAGAGGGCCTTAGTGGTTGTTCTTACTAATCACTACAGTACCCATAGTAATGGGTTTCTTTCTAAAAGGATTTCTAAGCATTTAGCAATACCACTCCCGTAGCATGCCAGGTGACATAGTACTGAAACACATCCCTGCTGCTGTATACATGATACCTCATCAACCCAGAATTAATGTAGTTATCTTGTAGTTCACTTCAAGCGACCACACAGGACATTTGAGCTATATAAAGATAAATGTGTCAGAAAATTCAGCCAAGAATATTAAGTCTTTTTCCCTGAATTCCTCATTTGCTGCAACGTTTAAGGCATAAGGCAACAAGTTCCAAAGATCAGTAACTAAACAAACCATTCATCCTGATAAAGCAAATCTGCCTGGTCTAATGCTGAAGATGACACCAGGACTTCCTGAGAACAGAACTGTGTAGACATATATGATTAGAACAAGGTACAGCTCCTAAAAACTGCCATTCTAAGCCTGAACTTTTAAATTCACTTTAAATCTGTTCATATAACCCCTGTTCTCACCGAACACAAGCCGCACCCTCAAAATGGGAAACCTGAATTGAAGGATGTCCTTTCCTGGTCTTTGTATTGACTCAGGAACAGCAAATAAGGCTGGCAGCTTCTTCTTTTCTGCCTCCTTAAGTTATACCTCCCCCCGCCCCAAGCCAGAAAAGTCTTAGGATCTGTTCTTGCTTCTGTGGAAGTTCCCTTTTGTCATTAATGCAGGAAGAAAATATCCAGTCTGTTCAGGTGCTGCCGTGCCCTCCCTGACTAGACTGCCACCCCTAGTACTATCCATTCCTCATGAAAGACTATAATTGTCTTTAAGGGAGACTCCAGAAGTAACTCTGCTCAGTTCCTTCCTAGTTTGAGCCCATGATAAAGGTGTTCTGGGAGTTGTAGTTTCAAGAACACCTGAAACCTGTAGGCCTTGCTGCGAAGCATGCTGGGAAAGTCAGGGTGTGTGTCTATGCGCGCGCACACACACACACACACACAAAATATATATATATATAACCACCTCCTCAGAGGGGAGGACAGCGAGTTGGATCCAAGTTGTTAGGGAATAAGTCTTCGAGGGAACAGTTAATAGATAGCTTTGAGCCTGAAAAGGGGCAGACTGTGGTAGAAATCTTACAAGGAGCCTGGGAGGCGGCGACACCAGAGGCCAAACTAGATAACTATGGTAGACCCGCCTGGGGAGGAGACCAGCACCGTGCCTAGACTCCTGGCGGCCCCAGGCAAACTTTTAGTATTGGGGCCCCATTTTGCCAGAGATAATGATAATAATAATTTTTAAATTACCATTTTCGGGTCCCCTTTCTGTCTGGGCCCTGGGCAGCCGTCTGATTCACCCATGCCTGTGTCTGGCCCTGGAGGAGACCAGGAAAAAAGTAGGAAATGTGGGTCCCTTTAGTCCAAGGGAAAGACTGCGGCAGGTTAGTAAATAATGCAGTTAAAGTGTTTTGAGAAAGGAATGGTTTAGCCAAAGTACCAGAGATGGCTAAGTCCTGAAGGGGAGCCTCAGAGATTGTTGTAGAGCTAAAGCCTTGAGGACAGAGAGGCAGGGGGAGATAGTAGTTATATCAGTCACTCCATTATCTGTCTTATGCACATGGTAAAACAGGCAGTCAAAATACTGATTCACAGAGTGATGGGGCAGATTCTTCAAGATATACCATGAAATACACTTTACAGACATGTAAAAAATAAATTAAAATGACCACTGAAACAAGAACTCATCAATACACTGTTGCTGACAAACAAAAACAGTCGTGTCTTGTGGCTTGCATAAGATGTTACAACAGCTATCCAAGTGGACCTTATCTTGGAGGACTTATCTTCGAGGTAGCGGGAAGTGCTTCACAGAAACAGAACATGAAGGCAATGAACAAAATGTACTGATTCAGCTGGAAGACTGGAGAAAGCCTGGGAGCCCAGGGCTGCCCAAATGTTTTATTTTTTTGTGGAAATTTCCTACATTTTTTTCTGAGGAATGCTACTATGCTTGTATTTGTAAGATACTCTCACTGACTGGTCACAGAATTAAATACAACATGTTACCCCACAAGTCTCAATTAAAAGCTCCTAATCATCTTTCTGTAGGACTGCAATCTGCTTTTGTCCCACTCAGACACATCTGCTTAGACTCCAGTCCTGCAAATCGGAGCTTTTAGTTAGCATGCGTGTTTTTTTGTCCCACTCCATGCCTGATTCAACAAGGATGAAACTATTACATTACAGCTACAGACACTTACACTTTAGCCCAAGCTGTAGCCACTCAGCTTTGGAGGCCTTTTGAT